ATATATATATATATATATATATATATTAAATATAAATATATAAATATATGTATGCCTTTTCACAGCTTCAAGTTGATCTTTTGTATATTCGACAGTAGCCTGTGATTGAGAGCCATCTTTATTAGCAGTATGCCTTTTTCTAATGGTAGGCTCCGATTCACTTTTTCCATTTTGTTTGATTAAATTTGTTACTTTTGTTAATAGATCTAGAAAAAAAAAATAATATACAATGTCATGTTAGATTAAAAAGTCTATAGATTAAATAACAAAGGTAATTATTTATATATCTACTTGGCCATTACACTGAGACATGATGAATTATTACAAGTTAATCCATATTATCTATATTTAAACTATAATGTAATATTAATTTACATTTCTAATCTTATCGAGAATCTTGCACTCAATTTAAATGTCATTAAAATACTGTTTATAGAAATAATCAAGGTGACCATTTCAATAATCATCTGAACTTAGAACAAATAAAAAAAAAAGAAAATTCATACGAAAACTTTGATCACTTACCATCTGTTTTTTGAGTTGGATATAATTTTTGTGCCTTGCGTATAAATTTTTCCGCATCTTCGAATTTTTTTTCACGAATATAACGTTCCGCAAGATCGACACATCTTTCAGCCTCATCCTTGTTACCGTCCATGTTAAACTTCAACCCCGAAATCAAATTTCTCAGTGACGAATTAATAAAATGGATCGAAAATGACAGTGCAAAATAATCAACAAATTCGATCAAGTCAGCCTATTACACGACTTTACACGATTTCAATAATTTAATAAATTATGTGATAATGATCAACATTGCGCATGATATTGGAAAAATAACACGAATGTATTGTTTAATGAATTACAACGACGACGAATGAACTTTTCCTTTACGAAAATCTCGATTCTGACTGGACAACGTGTATAATCTATCACGTGACGTGTATGTACACTGCGGTCATTAAATACTAATACACAAATATCATTGGTTCGTTCAATTTTTTATCAATCCAAAATATTAAAGATGCACATTCGTATTTTTTGATATTATTCAATAAAATTCTAACGATTAATTTGAAATGGTAAATTACAAATTAGACCAAACAAAAGTATTCCCTGCACGACATTATTTTAATATGACATTTGAGTCATTAAGGCAGTTTTCCATTAAAAGTACATAGTAAGTTGATGATCGTACTTTTTTTTATTTTTCTACCCTTTTTTTCTATTGAAATTAATTATTACAATTATTATTTTATTAATAGTGATTTTTAAAATAATCATTGTCTAATAATTTTCATTTCGTCGAATTATTCAAACACTGATTTGTATTCGTAGTATAAAATGGCGCGCTTTCAAATTTTTCCTATTCAACATGATCTTTGATATTTTTTATTATCGATGTTATTTAAATATTATATAACATTTATAAAGCCGCATTTTCATCGAAATTCTCTGTTTTTCTTTTATACAAAAATATAAAAACTATATTTGAATATTTTAATGAGAATATTAATATAATTTACAAGGTAAACAAGATAAGAAGACACAAAAATATAGTATTATTTTGTTTACATAAACGTTGCTATCCTTGTCATTATCAATTTTTTATAGTATCCACTTCCTTATCTTAAGAATATATCAAGATTGTTATTTAATACAATAATTATCCAAGAGACAGATTAAAACGATTTAAACTAACGTTTACAAAGTAAGTAATAAACTTATTATTATAACTACTTGTGTATAATTGTAATATTCTCGTATTATTAGTAAAATTAACATTAGAAATGAATACATTATCTAAAAGTTTATATTTCTAATTAGATGGCCACTCGTTGGGGTATAGCTGGTGCTGGAAAAATTTCACACGACTTTGTAGCGAGTATAATGTCCAAAGAAGTAGAACACCATGTAATTGCTGTTGCAGCAAAAGATTTATCAAGAGCACAAAATTTCACTAAAGATTTCAATATTAAAAGATCTTACGATAATTATCTATCATTAGCAGAAGATAAAGATATTGGTATGTAATAATACATTGTTATATTTAAAACATGTGTATAAAATAATAAACAAAACTAACTTTACCAATTGTTATATTTGTCAGAGGTTGTATATATTGGTACGTTGAATACAACACATTATGAAATAGCAAAGATTATGTTAGAACATGGTAAACATGTACTTTGTGAGAAATCATTGACAATGAATGCGAAGCAAACGAAATCATTGATAACATTGGCTAAAAGTAAAAATCTTTTCTTAATGGAAGCAGTTTGGAGTCGTTTCTTTCCATTATATAAAACCATTCAACAAGAAATTCAATCCGGCAATATAGGAAAAATTCATCAAGTTATTATTCCATTTGGATTTAATTTAAAAAATGTTGAAAGAGTTAAGTACGTAACTAGATCTACTATATATATATATTTATTTTTATTATATAATATAACTAAATACAAGTTATTTATGATAATTTTAGTAAGAAGAGCCTCGGCGGTGGTACCATATTGGATTTAGGCGTATATTGTTTGCAATTTCTCTGCATGATTTTTAATAATAAAATGCCTGATAAGATTAAAGCTACTGGATTTGTAAACGAAGATGGAGTTGACGTATCAACTTCTACAACACTTTTGTACAATGATAATACAACAGCTACTATTTTAACGCACAGTTTAGTCAATTTGTCTAACGAAGCTTATATCTATGGAGAAAAGGGAACAATACGTGTACCAAATTTTTGGTGTCCAACTGAACTACATTTACCAGGTCTGAATTCCCAAATTCCTTTGCCGAAAACTAACTACAAAATGAATTTCAAAAATAGCGAAGGATTGTATTATGAAGCGAATGCAGTTCGTATGTGTCTTCAACAAGGTATTCTACTCTTTTAATCATTTGAGTTCTAATATAACATTACTTTTTTTTTATTTAACAACTATATATATGTATATTCTGTATAGGTAAAATAGAACATCCACTCATGACACATGAAACATCTATATTACTTGCACAATTAGAAGATGAACTTAGAAAACAAATTGGCGTTACATATCCTGAAGATTCAACTTTTGTAGAATATGATCTTTAATTAAATGTATATAAATTGATGTATAAATAAATACATATACATGTACATATACAAATTATATTATACATTTAAATAATATTAAGAAGATAAATCTTTGAATATAAAAAGTTTATACTCATTTATTTTTTATACGCATGAAGAGCATAGAACATCGTAGTATTCGATGACCAAATCCATTCGCGTTTCAATGGATTATACATTAATCCATGAATCAGTTTAGTTTTTAAACCATCTAATAATAGAAGAAAATATTTAGTCAGAACATAATACAACTATGAATTTTATAATTGTATAATAATCTTATATATGATGTGTATGTGTATAATATATATAATATCTTACAATTTTCTAGCCAACGTTGAACTTCTTCTGGTGGAATAAATTTATTCCATTCGTGTGTTCCGACCGGGACAATTTTCAATAAATATTCAGCTGCACAAATTACACTCATCCAAGATAACAAAGTTCTGTTTGGTGTAGTAATGAACAGTGATCCTCCAGGCTTTACAATTGCTGAGCAACACTAATTATAATTGATGGGTTAAACGATCTACTTGATTTATTCGTTTACATGTCATAAATACTTACTTTAAGAAACAATTGTGGATCATTAACGTGTTCTATGACTTCCGAAGCTACAACTGCTTCATACTTCTCTTTATTTTCTTTCTCAAAAGTTTCTATATCAGTTTGAACATAATTTAATCTTCCTAATAAGTCAGAATCTAATAAGGCATGTTTCTTAGCAATATCTATCAATTGCGCTGAAGTATCTATTCCAGTAACTTCAGCTCCAATTCTTGCTAATGGTTCAGACAATATTCCACCACCACATCCAACGTCCACGATTTTAGTACCTTTCAATGGTAAACTTGTATCACCTTTAATCATTCCTGTATTAGCTAAGCCATCTCGTACAAATTTTACTCTATTGGGATTAAGTAAATGAAGAAGACGTAAATGACCATTCGGATCCCACCATTCATTATTCATTTTACTAAAAAATTCAATTTCTTTAGGATCTACAGTAGATTCAAATCTTACGTTGTTTATTACACATTTAGATGTTTCTGAAACGCTAAACAAACAAAAAAACATATTTAATATTATTAGAAGAATATTTTGTATTAATTACATTATGTTCAAACGAATGTACGTATCATTTATTATCTACTATTATTTTGTTAAACTATTTTAATTTAGAAAAACCATTTGTTATACATACTTATTGAATGAGATCAATTTTCCATAGATACTACGTCGCATGAAAATTTTCTGTGACATCATTTTTCCTTGTTTCTATTTTATCAATAAATTACAAAATATATCAATCAAGAATGTATATATTAATAAACGATTGAAAATAGATAGAATTTATAAGATTTTTGTTCACTGTATAATAGTTTAAAAAAAAATATATATATATATATACTACATAATGATTAATACGATAAAAAGAAAATATATATATTCGTAATGTTTCACATAAAAACAATTGACTAAATAGTTAAACTCTAGTACATGAATTTACATCTTAGTACTTATATTAAAATCCTTATCAGTTCACTACTTAACTAAAGTAATTAAATCACTGCATCTTACGACACGTGGAGGATATGATTGAATGTATATTTATCAAAAATAACAACAACCGAAAATTGAAAAACAAATGATAATAACCGATAAAAGGTTTAACCAAGCTTAAGAGAATTGACAAAATTCTACTGGCAATGTTATTCTGAATTGTTTATCGTTGATACTAGAGTGAGCACAATTTATGCTTTAATTATGTTTAATCACTTTGATACTCGATTATTCGGTAATTATTTATTTTTTATGATGTAAATAACATCTAATAGAAATCGTTTTTTTTTGTTGGTTATATTATGCGTCATAAACGTCAAATCCATATAATATTACATAACAAGTAAAAAATATAATCTCTAAAAAATTCCGATATAAATAATTGCAGTCATTTAATATTAATATATTTTTTTTATCCTTATTTACTTTTTCTAAATTTAAACATTCGTAAATTTATAATTTAACTTAGTCGATAAGTAAGAGCGTTCCTGACTTTCAGAAACGATCAATAGATGGTGCGCATGAACGTATTGGCGGTATTTTTTGAAATGGAGTTACGATGCTACAGTATTTTTTATACAAATTGATTTATTTGTAAATTTCAAAAATAAAATCAACTAACACAATATGATGTATTAGTGATCTGATCTCGAGTTTTAACTATAAAAATCTTATAACTTATCAGTAAATTTATCGAATAATTAAACATTGTTTTTTTTTATTTAATTGTACAAAGAAAAACTAAGCTCTTATTAATATTTACCGATTTACATAAATTACAATTCTTATATCTTTACATTACAGATTACGACGATTCATATAACATGAAATCGTTATATTTACATTTAATAACGAATTTATAATTAAGATTTGAGATGTTCTCTCAAATCATCTGTAAGACCACCTAAACCAATAGATGTAAAAAAGTTGATAGCAAAACGTGTATTTTTTGGATTATCTCGGGGAAATAATCCACTGAATGCTTCCTGTAATGTTACATCCTTAACTCTTTGATTAAGTTTCGAAAGACCCATGTATTCGGAAAGTTCTTGAAATAATATTTTAATAAATATTCTATTAGAACTGGTAGTATCTTCTTCGTTTAATTTTATACAAGACAATACTTCCCATGATATAGAATCGGTAAATAACAAATGAGCAAAGAATTTCGATACGTTTCTTAACTTATTAGTATCTAATCGATGTATTGTATGATAAGAATCTTGAAATATTTGTTCGAAAGGTGTAACATAAATTTTGTTAATGGCACAAAATCGTCCTGCTAACAATCCAAAAAATTTTTCGTACGTACGCATTTCCGCGCAACAATCTAGAAACATATGACAAAGTTCTATTTCTTGTCCTGGCTTAAGTTGCATTTTCATTAATTTATGCGCACATTCTTCAAAATCTAGTGATGAATGTATAGTTAAATAAATAGTTCTTCTAAGAGCTGTTAAATTAGTTTCCGTATTGTCTACAATAACACCTTCTTTCTCTTCAGTATTCTCAGCATTGCTATCTTCTTCATCTGAAGTTCCTTCCTCATTGTCACTGCCTTCAGAATCGCTGTCATCTGAACCAAGAATTTCATTGCTCAATTGTTTATATTTTTCTTCATTAGCCACATAATCACTGTCAAACTTGAAAACATTTAAAATGTCTTGCGAATCTATTGCTTCGTCTAATTGTATGAGATGCGTGAATTGATTTTCTTCCTCTACAAGATCTAATTCTGGAGGAATTGCTGGATGATCTTTGAAGCCATCCTTTCGAATTTGAAACATGACTTCAATCATATATTGAACACGCTTATCCAATTGACCCTCGTGCAATATATTTCTCAACATTTCAAAAATAGCTTCAATACCTTTACGAGATACTTCTGTTAATTTCATACCACATTCTTTCAAGAATGCTATGGCAACTTCTACAGAATCATCTGTAGGTGTTTCAACGAGTAACGTTAAAATCTCTAAAGGTAAAATTTCGTGTGCCACACGTTGATTCAAAAGATGTGCTACAAATGTTCCAGATGATATACAGAGAGGTTTGTCATTTCTACGAAAACCACGTTTAAATTGTATAATTAGTCGCTTCAATATTAATTCACCAATATTAGGAAATTTTGAATTAATAATAGCTGTAAGTGCTGCATAAACAGGAGTGAAAGTTGGAGAAGCAGCTTGAGCTTGTATAATAGAACGAGCTAACAAACCTCTTCCCCTAACAATATTTTCTCTTAAAAGTTCCCTTGTTATAAGACCAATATTGCTCACGTTTACTTTATTAATACTACCATGAATTGATTTCTTTAATGCTTCCCATGCAATCCGCTGATATGCAGCCCCAGACTTGTCCGTGATATTTGCTTGCATCATACGCAATTTTGCTGGTGGTATATAAGCACCTCCTGTTTTTGCTGTTAATACATCATGAGTCCTTTTCCGATTCTCCGGCATTGTTTCTGTTGTAGTTTTTCTTTCCGAATATTTATCCGAATATTTATCCGAATATTTATCCGAATGTTTATCCGAATGTTTATCCGAATGTTTATCTGAATGTTTATCTGAACGTCTTTCTGAACGTCTTTCCGAACGCCTATCTGAGCGTCTCTCCGAATATCTTTCTGAACGTCTATCCGAATATCTTTCTGAACGTCTATCCGAATGTCTATCGGAATATCTGTCAGAATATTTATCCGAATATTTATCCGAACGTTTATCTGAATATTTTTCCATGTTTTTTTTAAATAATATAACTAAATTTGTTCACTGTGCACACAGAAGAAAACCAAGTTCAACATGAACTTATAAGCGCTCGAAGAAAACTTAATACAAGTGTAACGTGTCACAACATTTTTAACTGCGCCATCTGCATTACATTTATCGAATTAAATTTTCTAAACATTTGATATTTTTTTTTATAATATATTATATTATAAATATCAAATATGTTAAATACTATATTATAATATTATTATTACACATTTAATTTCTTTTCTATTTTAAATTTATTTTAAAATTTTGGACTAAATTGTCATTGAAAATCCACCAATAGAAATGATTCTGGAATCCAACAACCAATAGAAATAATTCTGAAATCCAACAACTAATAGAAATGGTTCTGGAATCCAACAACCAATATAAATGATTCTGGAATCCAACAACCAATAAAAATCACTTTCCGTTATGTGATATATATATATATGTTGTATATATATATATATATATATATATATTGATGTTACTTCATTGATTATATTTGAACTATACAACCATATTCTAGGCTGTCCTCGGAATATCTATGGAACTTGCAAACTTTTCCTCACTATCTCTACAAGTATACCTGGGGAATGACCTAATCGTCTTGTAGACGGCCATTTTTGGTTGCATTGTGGAAGTGTTACCAGTAAGTCATCGATATTTAATTTCAGTTTAGAATCAGATGTTTTTCTAAAATGACTATTTGAATGTTTATTTAAATTATTATTTGAGAAGATTTTTCGATTAATTTCAAGGTTCCTTGTAGTCGATATTTTCGTTTTCTTTTAACAGTTATTTAAATGTTAGATAACTTTCTGTATATACATTCACGTAATAAGATTTTACGTATTTTCAAAATTAATCATATGTGTTTTAAGTTTGTGAAAACATAAAAAATCCAATGTAAATGAAATATATTATAATTTAAACAATTTGAATAATTATAAACTTTTTTTCAACAATCTGTCTTTTTCACATTCCATACTTTGTAACCAAATTACAAATTGTCTATTTGTATTCTTTTGACATTTAACTTAATACTTCTTTAACTAAAAAAAAAAAAAAAAGTCAGAATTTAATATAAATAATATTTTATCGAAGATAAATTAATTTTTATATGATATGATATAATACTAAGAGTTTATAGAAAAGAAGTGTTCTATTATTAATTTGTGTATTACATGTATGTTTTCAATAATTGTTACAGTAAAAGATGAATAAGTTAATGAATAACCGAGTTATTCTAGCTTGTTTGCATAAAAGTAACAAGCAACTTTCAAGGAACTTACAGTATGGCTTATCTGCTATTGGTAACAGAGATGTTGTTGGTCCTGGACATAACAACAGTATTTCATACATAGATCGTACAGATTTTCCAATGCCTGCTGTTCGTTTTAGGCCTAATACTCCAGACGTGCTGGTATTTATATTTATCTATATTGAAAAATACAATGTTTTTACACTTTATTTATATTTATATAAGTTCTACATATTAATATTATTTTAGGCTTTAAGAGAAAAAGAAAAGGGAGATTGGAAAAAGCTTACGATAGATGAAAAAAAGGCATTGTATCGTGCCAGTTTTTGTTCTACTTTTGCAGAAATTGACGCACCTACAGGAGAATGGAAACTCATTTTAGGATACAGTTTAGCTCTTGGAGCTCTCTCCATATGGTATTTCATGTTCTACAAACAATTCGGTAAAGTATTACTTTATGTATATTCTTAATATATTTCTATTATTAATAACAGTTACTTTTAAGTATTATGGATAAAGATAAGATATTCATTTTTTTTCTATTTCAGTCTACCCACCACTACCAGAATCATTCGATGAAGAACATCAACTTGCACAGTTAGATCGTATACTAAAAGTTGAAATGAATCCTATTACAGGATTACCTGCAAAATATAAGAATAATTAAATTATATTTAAATTAGTAGACGAAAATGCAATTGTACAGTATCTTAATGCAAACGTTCCATGTACAAATTGTCTGAGAATGTTTAAATAAATACTTTAAAACCACAGGATTCTTTTTTTTATGTTACATCAATACATATTGTTTTTTATTATTATTATTATTATTATTATACTAAATATATAAATTAACAAATAAATATACATGCAGTAAAAATATATATATATATATCGTTGCATTTGAAATATTGCTCCATAATTTATTTTCTACTATTTCTTGTTAGACGCAGTAAAATTCTAATATTTTCAATGAATGACAATAAATTCTAAGATTTGAATAGATTAATTTAAATGGATTATGAATAACATAAAATATTTAAGTTTATAAACATTATTTCAATAAATAATTAATATTTTAATTAACTTATCTCTACTTTAATTACTTATCTAGAACATAATTAACTTGTTGATGTAATTAAATGATAATTAAATAGTGAATTATAGACAATATGTATATAAATAGATATATATATTAAAAAAAAAAAAAAAAAAAAAAAAAGAAAAATGTCAATATTACTAAGTTTTCAAATGAACATATATAAATAAATAAATAAATAAATAATAATTGTGAGATAAAACTTATGATGATATAGAAAATTTGTATTATCAAAAAATTGAATTTATTTCTAATATATTAGCACCTAAATTGTTGAATGCTGTAAAAAAATGGACAATTTGTAAGATTTTTTTTAAGGGCAATTTAAAAACTTATTAATTACTGGAATGTTATACCTCAATAGTAAAAATAAATACAGAACAATTCTCAAGCATTAATCGTTTGAATTTTAAAATGATATTATATCAAAGCTTTTTCGCAATATTGTCATTTCTACAGAATGAAGAAGAATTCTTGTTTATTTTTTTTTATTTTCGCTAAATGCAGTATAGCTTAACTTGATGATTGATTTGTTCCTTCTTTTTGTGTGGTGCTGACATATACCGTCTTTTTATTGAAGAGTAATACAATATTGTTGTTTGGGGGGGATATAAAAAGATATCAAACATTGTTAAGAAATCAGACAAGCTGTATACAAAATAAATACATCTGCAAAAATTGCGTTATTTTTTTTTCTTGTTGTTGTTCTTTTTTTTGGCTTTTTTTTTTTTCAAGAAAATACTACAAAAATTGAAAGCAGATTGCTATAATAGTTATGCACAATACTTATATTTTATTTTTTATTTTTTTTTTTTTTTATTATTCTTTTCTTAAATACTTTGATAAAAATTTTTTTTTTATTTACCCATTCACGAAACTTATTTATGATTTCAATAAAATCCAAAAAATATACTAAATAATTATTATTACATTGGAAAATATATTACAAAATGAAGTTCATTAATATTATTAATATTATTATTATATTATTATTATTATATTATTATTATTATTATAATTATTATTATTATTCTTTTTTTTTCTTTTTTTTTTCTTTTTTTCTTTCTTTCTTTCTTTTTTTCTTTTTTTTTACTCCACGAATGCGGACTCACATGTACATTAAATATTATTGTAATATTATTACTGTAACAAACACTAGTTTTTTTTTTTTTTTTAGGTACATACAAAATAAAAAAGTTTAGTAGATAACTGTTAGACTTATTTTTCTATGTTTGATTATGTATATTACAATATTTACATTAGGTAAGTCCCAATATCACCATTTTTTCTCTTACCCTCGCTTATTATAAGAATATAGTTTCATATAGAAAACTAAGTCTTTATCATAACTACAAGAGCAAGTTGTTTTACAGTTTTGTGAAATTTTTCAGAAAAATTTATCGCAACTAATACTCGTGAATATCAATCGTATCATATATATATATATAAATGTATTACAATGAGTGTTTTCATTTCTTTTTAATTTCTTTTTTTTTTAAACCGGGTATGAACACAATTGCTATTCAAAGGTGGCAATAAGTGTGTGTTGTGTATGTGTAATGCTAGAGAAGAAACAATATTTAACAAAATATTGTTATGTTATTATTTTTTTTCTTTTTCCTTTTTTTCTTTTTTTCTTTTTTCCTTTTTATACTTTTATGTGCAATATGTGCAATTAATGCAAAGAAAATTGAACCTAGCCTAATTAGAATTATATTACAATTCTGTACGCGCGTCTTTGGTATACAAGCTCTGTCGTACAGGAGTGAAATATTAATTCTTGGAAAAATGAAAAATATAGCTACTTCAGGGGTATCTTTTGTACTGTCAAGAATAATATCGTATTCGAATTGCAAATGCTTAATTGTAAATATTTAACCCCTTCTGCAGACTTAATGGAGACAAACTTACGAGAATGATGACGCGACAGAATGATTTAGTTTATATATGTGACAAATATGATTTGCTGTCGCTTTCATAATATATCACACGATTATAAATATTAAACCTCGTGTCTTAAGTGATATTTTCTTGTTTTTCTTTTCTTTTTAACATTGTTCAAAATTACTTTGCACAATTCATCACCGTACACAATCTCCCGGGCCACGCTGTGCCACGCATTGTTTCTTCCTCTTCAATGTGTGTGGTCTTGAATTTGGACTGTGACTAGTGCTATTATTATGACTACCATTACTGTGAAGATTATGTTTTATTTTATTCTGTCCACCAATATTATTATTTATACCACGATAATTTCCCCTTGAACTGTGCTGATGATTTACTGTTTCAAAAATCATATTTTTACATAATAACGATTTAATATGCTTTCCTTTTTTTTCTTTTTATTACTTATAACAACGTGTTACGTACAATGAGAAGTCCCTTTAAAAGGTTTCTTCCAGTTCGAATGATGATGAGCTTGTTGATTATTATATACATGTCTCTCTTTAGTATTCTCCTCTCCTTTTCCACCTGTATTAGGTGAATTTCCACGACTACATTCGGAATCCTTTAAAAGAAAAAGGATATACATATATTCTTATATTGTCTATACTAATCACACACTTATTATTATTATTATTATTATTATGTTTTATATCTTATCAAGGAAAATAATAATACTTTGAACAATAAACAAACAATCAACAAATTTACCGTATCACTTGCCGGTGCTGAAAGAGTGGATGCATCGGAACCAGTTGAACTGGACAACGAGTCGACCTCACTTAACGGAACTGGGAATGTTTCCTTGATCCATCTACGATATTCTATTACTTCATCTGTCACACGAATTATTCTTCCCAATATACTGTATACAATAAAGATATAATGTTTATTTTATTTGATTATATTTTTCTTTTCATTTCAAATGATAATATACAAATTGTCGATTTTTTTTTTTTTTTGACATACAAAGTAAAATATAATAGAAAGCTATTTGCGTAACCTTTAAAATTATAATCTAATTCAACCTTACCTTACTTTATTTGCATCATTAACTAGAATATTTAAAGGACTGACTGCCTGAGAAAGAACATAATATGCCCAATCGAATGCATCTTTTACATACAGTGCACCATAACTACTACGGCCTATGTCATTACCAGGTGTAAGTGGATCTTCGATGCATAATAAAGAAGGTCGATGTCCATCTATCATGTCTCGTTGAACCTATAATTTATTTATTATTCACAATTATTTTCACAAAAAAAAAAAAAAAGATAAAACAATATTGTAGGTTACATTATAGTAATATATGTGAGAATAATCAATAAGTACAAAATAATTACTGAATACTATATGATCTCATTTATGATGTTATAATATATTACTTTTGATTGAAACCTAGTATTTATTTTGCAGTATAAATATTTGTTACCTCTTCTTTAGATATGTAAGTACCACCATCCTTAACTCGAATGCCTGTTTTAACATAATTGAATTTCCTACCATACAGTTCCAAAAATTCAATCAACAATACTCCTAGATTAGAACTTGAGCAATAAGCATTTTGCCTAGGATGTAACTAAAAATAGTATTCCTTTATTATATATTCCCTTTACTTTAATTGATTACTCATGTGATCAATTAATTCAATAACGTAGATATAATATTATTTTATACTTAGACTATATAAACTTACTTGCAAAAAACTGATGGTCATAAGTATCAAACTGTATGAAGAAATACCACCAGTAAATACTTCATTAAGATCTCTTTGTAACAAAAACTGTTTTAGTACCATAACAAGCTTTTCTAGTACAGGAAATCGTCTTTTAAATGAGTTTATCAACTCAGCCGATTTAACACCGTTATTCATGTTAAAACTAATGTCTACTTTTATTTCTGTTTCTTTATCAGTTAGTTTAACTATTGGAACGCTTGCCTTATCCAAAACTTTTATTGAAGATGGCTCAGCAATGTTTTGATCTAATAAAGCACGTTCCAACGTACGCAGTGGAAGATTTGTCCACATTCCAATTACAACTAAATCTATGTCACTGTAAACATTGTTTTGTTTTAAAGCTTTTGTTTATTATATTGTCAAAAAGACAGTCTTATTAATATTTTAATTTCAATGACAGAGATGCAAGATAAATATAAGAATATTATGTTATTCTTTTCTTTTCTTTTTCTTTTTCTCATAATTCCTAGATCGAAATAGATCATCAATGATAAAAAATGTAATTATAGTACATACCTAGTGGGTAAATATAGACCTGTTCGAAAACTTCCAAACACTTCAACTTTTGAATCCGGCCAAAGATCGTATATTACTTGCTCTATACGTTTAACCACTCGCACTCTTAAACTATGTTCTTCATTGGATGGACACATGTACGAGAAGAAATCTTCTATTTCTTCATGTAACCTAAATAACAAAATATCATTTACATATTTTACCGGGGCTCAAATTTCATTTATTGCAAATATATTATTCTTTGTATTTTCCCATCGTTATTAATCAAAAGTTCAATACATTATTTTTTTTATATTTTTATTTTTATTAAAATAATTTTATATTATTTCTTCTAATAATAATAATAATAGTAATTATTAAAATGTCAATTTTTATCATTTAACAATGTCCAATTGTACAGCAGTGAATTTTTTCGCATAAAATAATTTAGTAATATATATTTTTTTTTTTTTGGTTAAATAAATGATCGTATAAAAATTACAATTTATCTGAATAATTAATAAATAAAAAAAAGAAGAATATTAAATAATAGACAAAAGTTAGTTTGTGCGAATAAGTATTTCAACCAATCATTAATTCCAGATTCCATAAATATTCTATTATGTAACAATATTCGAGAAGAGTAAAAAAGAAGCATGTGTTAAAATCTTGCTGCTCACCAATTCCGTTTAATAGTAATAATAAGTAAACAGTAAAACATGGGGATTAAGTGTTGAAGTATGAAATCGATCGATCGGTTGTCAGACCTCTCTCTCCACTCGTATTGCAATATTTTCGAGAAAGAGAGAGAGTCGCAATAATTAGTCAAAATATTGAGGAAGAGTAAATGATAATGGGGAACGTATACCTAACCTTATAATGCCCATATGGACAAAGCATCTATGCGAGTATAAGAATATAGTTAAAGTAACATAATAAGTAAGGGTTAGATAAAGGTAAATGCATGCTTACCCAATAACTCCTTTAGAATAATGTTTATTAGGCACACGCCACGGGCATCCACCGTATTCCCCGACCAATGCATCATAATTGTAGTTCATGCCGTAGGTACTAGCACGATTATCACCTTTCCTACGTGATGGGTTATAATAACTATTGCAAGTATTTTGCTGGCCACTCGCCACCGAACGATTATTAACCGAATCAAAAGCTATAAAATCCTGCTGCATCTTAACGCCCATTACGTTTGACGACGAATCGTTCTTCAGGGTTAAGATATCGAGACCTTTCTCAGCTTCCCAAATGTGTAACCATAAGTCCTTAGCAGGGCCGAACTGCTCCGGTTGATACCAACCGATAGTCGGATCCATTAAACAGTTATGGATTCCGTATCCGGCGATAATTCGTTTTCGCACACTACACTACGATTCCAATCTTAAGTCAACTTTAATTGAAAAATTATCTGCTTTATTGTAACCTGCGAACACTACCAAATTCATACATACAGCCGATGAACGCAAACAAACTACGGAGAGGTTCATGTCGATGTACTCCTTTGAGAATGGGAGTAGTCCGAGTGCCATAATATCAGATGGCGCTCAATTCAAAAAATCTCTTATCATTTGATACTTCTTTTCTTATTGTTTTTCCTTACAATATTAATCTATTAACACCATGCATTTGGTCCTATTTACTTTTTCATTTACAATACTATTTCATTGGTCATCTTTTTCATTTATTCAAAGATATCAATTCAAATGTTATTATAGGTAAAATGATCATTCGAAAATGACAGTTCATTCATTCGTTCTATGTTAAATTCACTTTTTGTCCTATAATATTGTCATTTAATTAAAAAATAAAATCAATTTCATACATATTAACTTACTTTTTATTCTATTTTATAATGACCTTCATTCAATATGGATAATTAATTCTTTTATTGTAAATATCGATCTAATTTTTTAATTGATGATAGGTCAGGGTTATCAATAAGTCATTGTCGCGTCTCAATCTTCAAGGTATTTAATTTAAGCACGACAATTTCTGAAAAAAAAAAAATAAACAAATGACTATCCAAGTTTATCTAGAATTGAAAATCAGCTGTTAAATAAAAGTTCCCCTTTTGTCTGTGAATTTACTGTCAGTCCTATATTTTCTAGTACTTTAGTGTTTAGAGGAATCTCGAATTTTCAAATTCTCGAACGATGTATACAATAGAGCGTTATCGCCATTTTTTTTTTTATGGTGAAAAGGAACAATGGAACGTTCCATCTGCTTCGACGGAATTTTCTCGAACTATCGGAACTTTGAATTAACACTTGTTTCAAAAGAATAATTGTAAATTAAAAATTTGTAAACATTATATTATACATATAATTAAAGTATTTCTAATTATTTAATATTAATTATTTTTAATAAGAAAAAAGAAAAACAATATTTAATCTTACGTACGAAAAACGTACTACAAATAAAATGAATAAGTGGTGACATCTAGTAAATAAATGTTTCGTCGAACACTTACCAGATGTCACCACTAAAGAAATGAATTTTTTTTTTCATTCTTATTTTTTTTATATTTTAATTATATTTGTCCTTTTTGTTTATAACAATTCAAAGTTTTATTCATTTAAATAATATACACGCGTAATGCATATTTCATTAAAGCGTAAACAAAACTATTTGTTTCTGTTATGAGAGACCATTTAAAAGAATGTTTTATTTACGTAGTTTCTATAAAATACATAGTTTTCGTAAAGCATATGTGTCAGTTTCTAAATCGTCCGAAATTATTTATTGTCAATGATAAATAATAGAGATAACAAAACAATGTTCGCGTAATACGAATAAAATGTCCTAATGATATGAATTAACCACGGTTGATTAACTACATATGTGTGAATACGAAATCACCATTCATAGCATAATTAAATATGGCGGCTTTGGAAATACTGCTGTTGGGATCAAATGAATACGCGTCTCGTCGAATTGTCGTGCCTTGAACTACGTTCGTTTGAAGTGCCTTTATTTTCCTGTGATTTTGAATGCTTTCCATTAGTTTAGAAAGTATACATATATATATATATATATATATATATATAAATACATACATATATATAATATATTTAACTAGTAGAATTTGAAAAAAAAGATATATATATATATATATATCTACATTCCTTGTGGTGTTTGTGTTCCTCGATAATTGTTCCTGTTTTAAAAAGAGAAAACGGTAAGTATTTGTGTGTACACATATCTTCTCTGACATAGGAAAACGAATGGGTGTTGTATAGTTGTTTCATGGATTGTCATGGGTGAATCACACCTCCTTGAGCTCGTACGCTTATAAACGAAGTTTAATTGATATTAAGAGGGGACAATTATCAAGGATCTGGAGCTCTGCTGTGTTCAGCAGCTTCCCAACCGTTTATGCGACAGTTCACTGTTTGTTCTTAGCCGACTAACGTAATGCTGATTATTTACTAGTTTTCAAAATGTCTATTTTTGTTCCATGCATTGCCGGTTTATCAACGTTGTTTCCGTTTCATCTCAACAGCCTCGAATAATGATATTCAACGATAATAATTTGATTACAATACCACCGTGTTATTTCATTTATCGATAAGAGAAAGAAGATTTATGATTGTTGTTTATATTCATGATTAATCAATATTTATCTATTTATTTAGAATCACTAGATTTTATCGATGTGGATGATTATATTTGAAGATTTAAATAGAAGAACAAAAGCATTTGATAATAACAGTTGGTGAAAGTGTGTCATACTGTTGTTGTTTTTCTTTTTTTTTTTTTTTTATACTTTTACCTTTCACAGACTAAACTCATCGATATACTTAAGTTTGAAGTTAGATACCGGTGTGTGATTTTAATGAGTTTTTAATGGGTTTCTAATGAGTAATCATTAATGGTGTTGGAGATGTGATGGAATTTATTACTTAATGATATATATATATATATATTTATGTACATGTGGTAGATATTGACACCGATATACTTTTTGTAATATAATTTTTAGAAATAATTATAAACATTTGAGAGACTACAAAAGAATCAAAGTCTTCTAATATCATATGTGATCATGATTCCAAACAGATTATCTAATAGAGCACAAAGTAATGTGACAGCGAGCACTCAGTTTGTGTTATATTTACATAAAACAAGAAGGAATGATCTATCTTTCTTTAATTCTTATTACTTTTTCAATATGACACTTGGTCGTGTTTTCAAGGGTGAGTCGCTTGTCAATAATTTCCTTTATATCAGTTGTGCTGTCGTCCTATGTATCTATGAGCAGATAAATGTAGCTTACCAATACGCTAACAATTAGATGATACCAGTAATTTGATTATGCTATGCCAGAGTATTACTGTACAACTTTGATGTTAATTCAATCATCCAAAGAGAACGTTTATTAAATGTCTGTTCTATTTTTCTTTTTAGGTAAGGGGCAACCCAAGGGACAAGCAAGAATGCCTGCGGAAATGGATATACGAGTCAAAGTTATATATAATGGGTAATGAGCTATTTTTTTTTTTGTATATTATAACATGCTGTAACAGAATAAATCTAGCACAAGCTAGATTTTAATTATTGCTATCAACACCTGATTTTGCTACCCTGTATAATTGATTTATTTCTTATTTTAATGAACGGTGTTTTTTCTTCTAATTGCTAACATTAACAATGCATCATTGTTCTGAATAATAATTCTTCTCTTTTCATCTTCTCAAATCATCATAAGACTTTATTGGTCATTTCAAACATTTTTCATGATAGTTTTATACAGATAAATAATAAATGAATTGTGAATGAAAATATATGAGATGTGTATATTTTATATGAATGAACGTGAGTAGGACGCGAGAGGATATTGAACTGTAAGTGAAAAATGGTAATTTTTTTCAAAGAAAAGTTAATTTAAATTCATGAGCCAATTTGTTATCGTTCATTTTCGCTTTGCAAACGTTAATGCTTGGTCGTAATGGTTGTTCAATGACAATTATCCACTCGGCGTTGCCAAGTTGATTCAACGCGCGAGTCTTCTTGGTTGTACAGTGTGGCAAATCTGTGTAGCGCTAATAGCACGTCCTGGATTTCAGCTCTCACATGGCTAAGGTATTATCGCTTTTAAATGGAAAATATAGTATATATATATATATACTGTCATATTTTGTTGACATAGTTATTGGCTAAAAACAAAAAATAAAACCCTACAAGAAATAAAAACAAAATTAACAAACGCTTGTGTGTCGATCAATGAACAGGTAGCAGTACACGCATACATTAACGTTAATTCATTAATAAAACAATACAGAGAAAATGTATGTGAAATATTTAATATTCGAAAGTGCAGGAATGTATTTTGAAATCTGTATAACACGACAGGACTTGAATACTATTCTATGTGATTTCTCTTCGCGATAAATATTATCAGGTTTTTCATTAAGTCGTTCTTCTTCAACATTTCTTTTTCTCTCTCTCTCTCTCTTTCTCTCACTCTTCTTTCTTTCTTTCTTTCTTTCTCTCTCGTTAATATTAAACAAAATGAGGAACACGTATCTTCATGATATATTAAAAAATATATACAACGCGTGTATTATTATGTGTGATGATGAAATCCGCTTAATCCGTGTCTCATTTCAATCGAATAAATCGTTTGAAAAAAAGGTGACGCGGAAATTAAAGCACCAGTCAGAGGATACGAGGAATTTGTAAAGAATTTGCAATGATTAGAGATAAAAGAGATGAATAGAAAGGGGTTGCGTCAGGGTTAACAATAGACGACGATGACGAGACGACGACGACGACGACGATGACGATTGATTGAACTCTGTTAGAAATGAAAATTATATGGGATGTTAATGGACGTATATTTGCTATTAAATATTCAGAATTGGAAAAATATTTTGTTTATTCCGACATTTCATGTAAGAGCCCCAATTTTATAATCAGGGAGGTCCAAATTACATACGTGACGGCCGGGATCTCGGTGGATACGTTGCGGGAGGAGATGAGAGCGATATGCGGGTTTGGTGGCGCAGGGCCAGGTTCAGGGCCGGACCAACAATTCACCATGAAGTGGGTCGATGACGAGGGAGATCCTTGCAGAATTGCGTCGCAGGAAGAATTAGACGAAGCTCTGCGACTGTACGAACTAGAAAAGGACACGGAAATAACGATACACGGTCAGTATCATCAAGCTCTCTCTGTTTCTCTTTTTCAAAATATCTGCTGCATCATCCTACATATGTTTGTGTGATATGATGTTAAGCGGATTATTTATTTATTTATTTATTTCTTTGTTTGTTTGTTTGTCTATCTTTCATTCAAATTTATATTCATAGGAAAATGCAAAAAATACGATACCTATCCAAAGTATGCACTCACGATATATATATATATGATCTCTTTTGCTATTTCTTTTTCAACGAAATACTTAAATAAAGTTTGTCACAAATCAACCTCTCTTCTTTCTGTTTACGAGAGTCGTATATTATATATACATGAATATCCATTGTAAAAAAGAAACACATATACTCTTGATTTTAATGGGTTTCTCGCGTTTATTTCACCAACGTCGAAAATAAATGAGTTAAACTTTCCAATTATTCTCTCTCCCTCTCTCATATTTTCGACGAATATTCGACTACCATTTCCTTTTTCAAACGATTGCATGTCTCTCTTCCGACTTTTTTCTCTTTCCCTTTTATTTATTTCTTTCGGAGAAAATATAGTACCTATAACTAATTACCTACGTATGTTATTGGACGTTTTACTTGTCTCAACAAAAAATGAACAATAATCTTTCTTCGTCAAGTCTAGTTGAAAATATGATTTTCTTTTTATGTTTTTTTTCTTTTTTTCTTCTAATCTCGATCATTCTATCTAATAATCATTGAGATCAATACATTGTACTTTTCTTTTTGTTTTTAAAGAGCTCAGGATAGAACACTTAGTCTGACATGAAATTTGAATGCGCTCTCAGTGTATATTTATATAGGTCACCACACCTTTGCTAGTTGCTCGATGTGTCGTGTAAATGTAGGATCGTCTAACTAGAGAACCTAACACCTCTTTGTAAAGGGACACGCATTCGAACGTTAAACAATGTTTACGCGTGTATAACAAGCGTTTAAAGTCAAGCTTGTCCGAGTGTAAAAGCAGTTCAATGAAATTATTTAAAAGAATATTTTCCTTACATTATTGCAAAACGAATCAAATTGTTAATCCAAAAATTCAATTTCTGAATACTTAATATCATTAGGATGTTAATTAATTTACACTTGAAAGATCATAAGCATATGTAGGTCGGATAATGCAGTATTATGAATTCAATATCGAAAGTAAACAATTTTGAAAATAGTAATTGGGGTAACATCCTTTCTACCATTCTTCTAACATTACTATTCTATTCTACGCATGAATACCTAGTATTCTAGTTGTTTTCACGAACACGAAGTCGCAAACCTAGGTATTAATACCTATTCCTATTGTCTTACTGTGTCTAAAAGGACAAAGGAGATATCGAACAGTCACGATTCAGATCACTACTACTTTTAGTAAAGATTCTTTCTATACTTGAATCTAAGAACCCAATTACACCAATATTAGCTTCACAGTAACTCTCTAAATTGTTTAAAATATCAAATTAATCAGCCTACGAATAAATTAACTGAGAACAGATTTTGAAAATGTAAATTCTTCGAAATTTTATTTACCTCGAATTGTTTTGTAAAAGTTTGAGTTACGATGTATTATTATATGTAGAAGTTTTGATCCCAGAGAGGTGAATCTTTCGGTAAGATTTAGCTGAGTGAGAATAAGGCGTCCTAGGAGCGCAGTATCCTGCGCAGAGATTCTTTGGTGTCTTGTCAGCTTTTCACCCTTTCTTGTTCCACACCCGTGGTTGGTGGTGGTAGTGGTGGTGATCGCGAGAGGTATGTTTCTTGGTAGTCGAGTAAAAGAAAGGAGCTTGGGAAGAGGACAGAGAGAAGAGTAGTACTTACACGTCCTTTCAGTCTTGTGTTCATTCTTTTTATGTTACTCGTTGTCCTGTTTGTCCTTGCCTCGTCAAACTTGGCCAGTGTTAGCAACCCTGACGCAAGGAAAGAAGGAAAGGTGGTGGCAAAGGGGTAGGAGAGTTGGCATTAAACCTAAAGAGGGTGTAGATAGAGGAAAAGAGGAGGAGGAGGAGGAGGAGGAGGTGGAAAAGGCGGTGGAGGAGGTGGACGAGAGAAATGAGGGAGCGTCCACCACCGGTGTACTCGAGTTTGCGCGTTTTGGTTTGGTTGGTAGCGCGCGCCGAACGACGCTGCCAGTTAACGCATCCTGCCGTGGCAGTCGATATCCTCGTACGGACCGATCAGCAAGGCTGTGATCATTGTCAGAGTTCAGATATAGAAGAGGAGTGACGAGAAGAGTTACCACTGCAACTTCTAACATATACCAAGGGATTCGTCTAAGAAGAAGGAGAAGAAGAACAAGAAAAACAACAAGAAAAGGAGCAACAAGAAGAAAACGAAGGAAAAGAAAACGAGGCAGAAACAGGAGCAGTTGCAGAAGAAGAAATAGAAGAAGAAGAAGAACAAGAAGAAGACGAAAAGGAGGAGGAGAAGGAAGAATAAGAGGAAGAAGATAAAGGGCGAAGGTTAGAACGATAAAGAATAATCCTTTGTTGTTTTTCTTCCATCGACAACTTGCTCGTTTGCAATCACATCGTCCTTTGATTTTGGCGTTCGGTAGGCGTTGAAATAAGACAGGAAGAAAGGAAGGAAGAAAGTTGAAAGAGAGAAGAGAGAGGTCGTAAAAGAGGCGGTAAACGTGCATCGATCGAGGCAGCGATTCGTCGCACGTTCATCCAGATTCCTGTGAAAGAGAGAGAAGGAAAGAGTGAGGGAAAGTGCGAGACGCATCAGAAGGGAGGGGAAGACACAGAGAAAGAGAGAGAGAGAGAGAGGGCAAGAGGGAGTTTGGCGTTGCCAGCGGAAAGAGGCAAGGCAGGATAGAGGAAGGTCACGCGCCGGCACGGCTGGAGTCGGTGCGAAATGGCTTGGGGCTACTGGAGCGCGACTTCCGTCAGCGATCGAAGTCGGTCGCCACGTCGAGAAAAGGACAAACAACAACAACAACAACAGCAGCAGCAGCAACAGCAACAACAGCAACATCCAACGTTGCACCAACAACAGCAACAACAGCAACAATATCAAGAATTGCAGGGTGGATATGAGATTCAGCAAGTGCAGGTCGAGTCTGCAGGTATTGGAAGTGGAAGCGGCCTAGCACAAGAGGAACCACCCCGTGGCGCGATGATCCAGGCTGGTTCTTTTTATTATACCTCAGCAACAACGGCAGCCGCGGCTGGACGTCGAATCGGTACTACGATCGAGGTTCCTTCTGTTGCCTCAACTACAAGCGGCATACAAATGTTACCGAGAAAACGACACGTTATCAAACCACCATCTGCGGCCAATTATCCGCCCTCGCCTGGTAGCGACTCCGGTGATTACGAGCAAACACCCCTTGGTCGAGGTACCGAGTGCTCGCCACCGCCCTTACCTCTTGCTGTCAGTCCACACGGCATTGCCGGCGCTGTTCTCGGTTCTGGTGCTGACATTCTGGCACAACCCTGCTCCTCCTCCAGGATGAAACTACTCGCCGACGAGGCGGCCGAGGAATTCTCGGACGTCGACTCAGCCGGTCCTGAGATTATCTACCCGAGCAATGGCCGTGGTATCGGCACCACTGGCTGCCTATTGCACGGTCCCTGCGCTGCAAATCCACCGCCGGAACCCGCGCCTCCTATACCCCCTCTCCTGGACGAACACCCCTCGGCACCCTCGCACATTTGGTTCAACGAAATCACCTGGGGTAGGTCTCTTATACGACTCGCCTTAATCTTATTATTATTCTCTCATTCTTATTCTTATTATCTTATTTTTCTTATATCTCTTTTACCTATTTTACTTCTTTTACCTTTTCTATCACCGAGCTTCTCATTCTTCGACGTTACGTGCAAGTTATTTATCGATTGGACACCTCAACTTCTCCTTCCCTCTTCCCTTTCTCTTCATGGAATTCTCCTAACCAAGTTTCTCCCCTCGTTGTAATATTCGCTAGTGAACACACGCTGTCTTTCCACTTCGCGATATCTCGGTCTAACGAACCTAGTGTGTACCATAATGTGAACCTTTATAAACATGCAACTTTGCGCAACCATCGAGGCGCCACCAAGTCACCCATCCACCCATTTACCCCTTTCTATATCTAGGGGACAACCTACCTATATCCCTACCTACCTACCTACCTACCTACCTACCTACGCTCTTTCAGCCTTTTCTTCTTCTATTTTAGCCCTTTTGTCGTGCGATACCAATCGATTTCGTACCAACATTATTTGCGTGGCATTTCAATTATTACTTTTTCTTACTCGCTTTCTTCTATCTTTTTCTTTCTCTCTTTATCTCTCTCTCTCTTTCTCTCTCTCTCTCTCTTTCTCTCCTCGGAAATATGATTTAAACAAAAATAAATTCTATCGTTTAAATAATTGAAATTAGAATTGCAACAAGGGAGAATATTAATCTAGAAATTCTTCCATATGTTCGGACTGGCATGCTTTTATATTTCTTCTTTATTTTTATTTTTTTTTTATTATAATATAATCTCGATTCGAAAGTTTCAAAAAAGCAGCACTCTATATAATAACTTTTAATTAATAGTCAATGTAATTACTGTATTATTTTAATTAATGCTCTAAATTTTTGATCACGAGATTAATGCAATTACTATGGATTTTTTTTTCAATATGAGCATATTTAATAAATAAACAAGGGCGAATATTAACGAAATTTGAATAAAAAGGTAAGTGTTTGAGGGGTTTTGTATGGGTTAAAGCAACGTTTTTAAATTTCTAGAGTATTTTCAAAAGAAACTAGATATTTTCTTAGCCATTTGCGAACGATTCTTCCGAGTTGAACGTTAACGTTGCACGGAAACATTAAGAGTTAATCGCGTTGGCGATGCTTTCAACGTCATCAGAAATTATTAATTTGGTTTTAGCCTTTGATGCCCCGGTGCTTCATCCATCGTAAGAGAACATTTTCAAAGCTTGTTTATCACCTCGCGGTATACTCAAAGAGATTCGAATTTATGCGAGCAATCGCAAAGTACTAACGCTTGCTTATTACAATTTTTTCTTTTGTAGTTTCTTATTTCTATTTCTCTCTTTTCCTTTTTTTAATCATGGACGCACATTAAAAACAATAGGCTTTGTGAAAATTATCTTGATTACTTATTAGAGAGAAAATTTGTATTCTTAGTTTAAATAAATTACATTAGTATTTATAAATGCATGCGGTATAATTTAACTGTTTAATATTATCGTTTTTTTTTTTATACAAGATTTCTAAAAATATAAATCATGCACCATAGAGAGTATAATATAGTAGGGGGTAGAAAAGTATATCGAATTGTTCAAATAATCAAACAAATCATTTTCTACAATTTCATGTTAATATTTCGTATGGTCTTATTATTATGTACCTTTAGAATTAATTCAAATATTATAGAAAAATTTGATTATTTTTTCCAGAGACATAAATTCATTTAAAACGTATAAGCGTCAACGAGATAAAACGTGCAAAATTGTTTAAAGTTTTATTCGAGCAAATGTACATAGAAAAGTTATTAATTAATCCTGCATACAGGGCTTAGATGAAGAGAGTCCGGTTTATAGTAATCCTTGCGCAATGGAGTATGCAAAGTATTATTGGACTTAACGTAAATCTCTAAATACATGTATAATATTTCGTGATCTCTCTTTCTCCGTTGTCAGGTAGATAGGTAGGGCATTGTCATGTCTAGACGGCATATGATATTTGAACTAAAATTCCCGACAAGTCTTTTTCTTGCGAATCCATTTTCGTTGAACAGTCATACTGTGACGCTGACTCAAAGGTTTTTGACGTTTTTAGAGCGCATAGGGGGAGGAAAAACTTTGTTTCACACAGAGAGAGAGAGAGAGAGCTTCTGCTTCACCATCTTTTCCGCGGTTATCGTGAAGATTAAAGCAACTTGTTCTCTTTCTTTCTTTCTTTTTCTCTCTTTCTCTTTCTCTTTTTATTTGTACGGACGGATAAGTATAATATTTCTGCTTCGATCGATCTCTCCTTCCACAAGTTGTTCAACCTAGTACAGAAGAGTGTATTATACACCAGTACACGTAGTAGAGGTGATCGCATAATCGTTCAGACGTTTTAACGTTTCTTTGCTTCTTCTCTCTTTTCCTCGTGAATCGTAAAGAAAAGTAGAACTTTACCGTGTCGTTTGAACGTAACACTTCGAGTTACGTACTGTTCTCTCTAACCCTCGCCTACGATACACTTCTACCTACCTAACTATCTATACTAACCTCCCAACCTTCCAACCTTCCAACCTACCTACCTCCTATGTACATATCTCTTCAACTTACGAAACGTAAAAGCTTTTTCGAATCGTGTCACCTTGTTTGCACTGCTCTTCTATTCCTGTTATAAAAAACAACAGTCCAGCTCGCCTGGTATATGTTTTTGGTTTTGACTAAATTAACTCTTATTAAAATTCATCACAGAAAAAAAACTATTCATTTTTCTTGTTTATAAATTCTTCATTGTAAAATAAGTACGGTCAGAAACGCAATGGTTTCTTCTAAATGTTTATTGTTTTATTTTTTGTTCAAAGTTTAACCAGCATATTTAAAGTAATCGTTTAGAATGATAATACATACTTATACAGTACTTAGCGATGTTCTTTATAAAGATTTAATTGCTCTGCTTCCGCACTCTCGAGCACGCAAAGGAAGGAGGCCGATAGCGACAACAACGTGTATACCACACCTTTTTACAGATATATATATACATGCATAAATATATGTACATATTTTTCTACGTATCTGTGTGTTTGGTTCTTCCTATTCGTGTTCTATTGCAATGGTTAAACTACAACCAACAAGCTTAGGGTTATACGTTCGTGTGTCCTAAATCGGTGAAACGATCGCAACGAAATTCGATAGAATGATAGATAGATGAGAAGAAAATTCTCCTTCTCCTTATCAGTTTTTCTCTGGCCTCCTTTGTGTATTCATTTCGTTAGTTGTGTGAAAAGGACAGAAAAAAAGACAGAAAGAGAGAGAGAGAGAGAGATGCAGGGGTTGTTCGGTGGATGTTTCAATGGGTTAGATATTTCTCGTAATAATTAATAATAATAATTATGTATCTATCAAAAAAAAAATATAGTTCAATGTAATTGTGAAGAGGAAAAAAAAAGGTACACAAACAAACAACCCTCTGGTAAAAAGTTTTCGATCAGACGCATTGTAATACGTAATTAATTAAAAATATACACACACATACTACAGTTTTATATGTTGATTTTAATTAATTGTTATACGTTGTTACTGTTATTTTTGAGATATGTATATTTAATGGGGGAAAAAAAAATATATATATAAAAAACACAGGATATTTGTGAAATAAAATATAACAGAAATTGCATAAAATACTTTTTACGAACGTTTTTCTTTTTCAAAATTAACGAAATAAATATGAATTTTGACAAGCTGTTGAAATTATCGTCAAAAAATGAAATTTTATTTCTTTTAATAATAATAATAATAATAATAACAAATCATGAAATTAGATCGATCACTTTTTTCCTGGGTTTCCGCCAGATCAAAAACAACATTTCGTTCCTATATATACTTTTGTTTTATTTTTTAATATTAATATATTTTCTTTTTATAATAAATAGCAATTTCTGTTATTTTATATTGCAAACCCCCTATTATTATCCACCTAACCCCCTTTTTACTTTCTCATTTATTTCTCGACAATAAATAATAATAATTATATACGTGTATGTGTGTGTGTGTTTTTTTCAATTTAATTTCATATTACTCTGTGTTTGATCGAAAACTTTTTACCAGGGATTGTAGGAGAAGGAGGAGAAGGGGGAAAAGGAGGAAAATGTGGTGGTGGTGATGGTAATGGTGATGGTGGTGGTGGTGGTGGTGGTGGTGGTAATGGAGGTGATGGTGGTGGTGGTGGTGGAGGAGGAGATGAAGGAGGTGATGGAGGTGATGGTGGTGATGGTGGTGGTGGTGGTGGTGGTGGTTGTGACTAAGGTAAGTTATAGGATATTGCCTTCCTTTGACGTCATTTGTTTGAAAAATAACAAGTCGAGTAACAGCTGTGTATGAAGGGGGAGGGATAAATTTCGGTGCTAGGACGGAGGGAGGGCATTTGTCTTTTTTCCTGTTTTTTTTGCTTTTTTATAGAGAAGAAAGAAATGAAAAAAAAAAAAATCTAATTCGTTCATCTGAGTCACCACGATTGCGTGGATCTAAAGAGATCTATACCTATATGTACGTATTTTATTATTTCTAACTAATTGCGATGCTTTTGATTAAAGTTTTGATAAATATATGAGAATAATCGTAGGTGTATATTGCAATCTCAAGATCTTATGTATATTTATGCATGTACATTTTGTATATTCATATTATTCTCTTTGATATTTACGATTCTTTCCTCTGATGTAATCGATCACGTTTCATCCGTGTTTGGTTCGTACACATGGATTTTCAATTCTTCATATTCTCTCATTTTTATTTATAAATATGTATATGTATATATGTATATACTATTAAATCATACGTTTTATATTTATGATAAAGTTAACGCAATAATGAACATTTGTCTTTGAAATTTTTTTAATGATCCTTGCTATACATATACATACTTCGTACAAATGATTTTGTTTGATCTTTTAATTAAAATATCTGTACCTATGCACACATACATATGTATGAACATGTGTGTGTGTGTGTGCATAAC